TGTCACTGGATGTCTGTGTGTGTGTCACTGTGTATGTGTGTGTGTCACTGTGTGTCTGTGTGTGTGTGTCACTGTGTGTCTGTGTGTGTGTGTGTCACTGTATGTCTGTGTGTGTGTCACTGTATGTGTGTGTCACTGTGTGTCTGTGTGTGTGTGTCACTGTATGTCTGTGTGTGTGTCACTGCATGTCTGTGTGGGTGTCACTGTGTATGTGTGTGTGTCACCCAGGCCTATGATACCATCAGTAGGCCTGGGCTCTGGGTTGTTCTTCGTGCTTTTGGAGTCCCTGACCCTCTGCTCACGATCATTAAGGACCTTCATGATGGTGAGCGGGCCCGGGTAAAACTACGTGGCCGGGAGTCAGAGCCATTCCCTGTACACCTTGGGGTGCGACAGGGATGTCCTCTGGCTCCCACATTATTTAACATCTATTTTGGCCACGTAGTTCGTGAAGCCTTCAATAGCTGTACCGGGGGAATCAACATTTGGTACAGATATAATGGGAGGCTGATCGATGCTCGGGTGCGGTCAAGGGATGGCTCCCTATTGCTCAACCACGTTATGTATGCCGATGATTTGGTAATAGCTGCTCATTCAGAGGAGGAGTTGGAGACGCTGCTGCTGAGACTGGAGCGTGCCACTGAGAGATGGGGCTTAACCATCAGCCCCACCAAAACTAAGCACCTGCCTGGGTATTTTGTACCATCGACACTCCACCCCTACAACTCCCAATCGGTGATGGGGCAGTTGTGGAGAGAGTGAAGAGTTTCCCATACCTGGGCAGTGTGCTTATGACCAGCTCAAGTTTAACAGCAGAGGTCTCACTCCGAATCAGTCGAGCGGCAATATCTTTTCATCGGTTGCGTAACGCTGTGTGGAAGCTATCTGGTCTGTCGCTCCACACTAAGCTTCAGGTCTTCTCGGCCACGGTCATTCCCTCCCTTCTCTACGCTTGCGAAACGTGGACCCCCTTAATGGAGCATCTTCGCCGGTTGGAAACATTTAGGCTGGCCTGCCTACGATCCATCCTGGGTTTAACCAGGCTGGATTGTGTGAGGAGCTCACAAATCCTTGAAAGATTTGGGCAAGGTCCCATCGGTGAGCTCCTCCGACAGGCAAGGCTGCGTTGGCTGGGTCATGTAGCCCGCATGCCCAGCCACCGCATGCCGAAACAGCTTTTGTTCGGCCGGATCGAGGGGGCTAAACGGGCGCGGCACGGGCTAGAGAAGAGATGGAGTGGTGTGGTACAGGAGGACGTGGAGCTGAGTGGACTTGCCGATGACTGGTACCAGCGGTGTCAAGATCGGCCTCTGTGGAGGAGGCTCGTGAAGGACGCTACTGGGCAGTTGGAGGAAGTCGCCCTCCAACAACAACGGAGGGCGGAGGAGCGACGCTCACAACGAGCAGAGCGCCGGGTGGCTAAAGCACAGCAGGTTGGCACAGTAGGGGGCACAGGTGGTGCACCAGCCAGTCATCTCAGGCAGTCGACCCGTGGCACCTGGGTCTGCCCCGTGACCTCCTGCCCGCGGGCGTTCGACACTTCACGTGGCCTCAAGGTGCACATGGCCTGGCACAAGCGTCGTGGTGACGTCACCGCCACTTAGTGGCGAATGGCGGTTGTTGTTGTTGTTGTTGTTGTGTCACTGTGTGTCTGTGTGTGTGTGTCACTGTGTGTGTCACTGTGTGTCTGTGTGTGTGTGTCACTGTATGTCTGTGTGTGTGTGTCACTGTATGTCTGTGTGTGTGTCACTGTGTGTCTGTGTGTGTGTGTGGCGAGTGGTGGTGTAGTGGTTAGCGCTACGCTGCGCTATGAACCCGGCGACCCGGGTTCGATTCCCGCTCACGGCCAACACCAGTGACGATTGTCTGAACCGGTCCCGGGCCTCCCCTAGGTCAACTCAGCCTCAAATGAGTACCTGGTGCGGTGTGTAAACATCGCCACTGTGGAGACAAAGGCGGTCGGGCGTGGTGCTGGCCACCCACCCTCTCGTGTACCGTTCTGGCCGTCATATGTGCTCGCTAACAGCACTTGCCCCTACAGTCTGGTAAGGCTACGCGGGGGATCTTTGTCTTTGTGTGGCCCCTTCGGCTGCGCGCGTCCAGAGTTTTCTTTGACGCCGGCAACTCGAGCGTCATCGCTGCCAATGCAGCATCGCCAAAGGCGCGGTTTTGTTTTACAACGCGGCTTGCGATGATTTTAGTCGGCCACCCGACTTGGTGGGGGGGGGGGGGTTACGTTTTTACGACCACAATTTATGGCCAGCAGGAAGGAAGATCGCTGAATAGAAGGCATCGTATTTTATGCAACATGATACGTTTACGTTCGAGTTTGACAATCGCAACTTCCTCCCGCTTCTTCGGAACGGGAAACAGTTTTATTCCTGGTCTTGTGACGTTTTGGTCTTCTTTGTTTGTTTTCGGAAAATAAAAAAAAATAAGTTATTGGTGTCACGTAGAGAGGAACGGATGGATTGGATTATGGAACAAGCTAGAGACGTCACGTTGCCCTCTGGCGAAGCGTGCAACTGGGAAGGAGACTTTCCCTCTAGCAGGGATGATGGCGGTTGGGTGAGGACGTGGGTTCGACCCCGACCCTGACGCTTGCTGTATATTTGGAGTTTGCGTCTCTCTCTCTCTTACTCCGTGATCGCGTGGATTCTTCTCCCGGCCCTCCCGTTTTCCCCTCCACATTTGGAAACATGCCTTTAGAGTATTTGGCTGGTATACATTTCCACATGATATAAGCCACTTCGTTGAGCTATCATTTGTGGCCAGTTCGCTTCTGAAAAAGAGCTGTATAGCTCAGTGGGTCTTACCTGTTAAAATAAAACAAATAGTGTAATAGATTAACTACTACCTCTCGTGGATAAGAAGTCACTCGAGATTTCAGAATTAGTTACGTGAGGCTGGAGGAAGCCCACAGACGAATGACGGCACGGAGGTCCCAAAACGTAAAAGCAACCCCAGACCGACTCGCGTTCGTGCCAAATTATGTCACTAATTCGCCACATCCACGTTGTGATTACAAAAGGGGCAGCTCGCCTAAACAAAAACGTTATTGGGCAATGTGTGCCAATGCATACACGTGATGCACCCACTAATTTCATAACAAAGCCAATTAGTGACCCAGGAAAGCTCCGCTGGCTGCCGAGACACGTTTGCAAGGAGGGCCGTGCAATCGACGTGGTTGTCCCACGCCATTAATGAGTGTTTTGGCACGTGGGAGGAAACAAGGGTGTCCGGAGAAAACCCAGTCATACGTGGTGGGGGGGATTACCATTGATTCATCCTGGTCACCTCGTAACTCTGTTACTCCTACAACACCCTTGATCGTGGTCACATCTCCACGTGCTCACGAGGCTCAACTCTGCTTATCTTTCGCGACCGGATTGCGATTGGGTGAACTACAGGGTGATTCGGCTGCAGGTCAAATCGCACAATAGGGGCTCGTTGCACAGGATACGTAAACTGATACAGGCAGTTGGTACGGTACAAAGTGAGATATCTACGCAGGGCTCATGGACTGTTAAGGGTTGGACTGCGACTGTTCTTTTGCCAAATGCTTTGGGGCCTCTGAGATATCCATTACAAAACGAAGAACAAAATCGGGAAGGTGGCTCGTGGAAAAGTGATGGGTAGGGTTTAGGGTTAGAGATAGGGTTGGAATTAGGGATAGGACTGGGGTTTGGGGTAGGGTTAGGGTTCGGGATACGGCTTTGGGTTAGGGATAGGGTTGGGGTTAGGGATCGGGTTAGAGCTAGTGAGTGATTGGCGGAGGCGCTATTTTTCAGGACAGTAATGCTCCACACCGCAATGCACCTTGCTTGCATCGAGGCACTTTCAGCACCACGGACAGCGCCCATTACAGCAGCAATCCCCTCAACACTAGAGGTGCGAGTCTCAACTAAAATAAAACAATCAACTATTTTTATTTTGCCAGGTAAGACCAACTGAGCTATATATATCTTTTTTTCAGACGTGGCTAAGAAGCCGCACCTCCAATTAGCACGGTTTGGCTACGTACGTTGCGAAATACGTTCAAATATACAGGGACTCCTCTAATTACGAACGAGTTAGGTTCCAGAGGTATGTTCGTAAGTCGATTTGTTCATAAGTCCAACTGTCGATTCCAAACATGTTGCACGGCATGTACACGAGACACGGGGAAATGGCTTTAAAAGTTGAATCATCTCCTGTAGATGTAAATACCACTGGTTCTTCATGTTCTGCAAACGGAGATGCCACCACCGTCATCTATTGCACGGCGGGTTTGTTCGTATCTCTGAAAGTTCGTAAGTCGAATCTTCGTAATTAGAGGCGTCCCTACACACACATTCAAGTCACCCGCAGCCGCCACTGTTTTTAACACGCTGTGTCACCCGGTATGGGTCTCGGACGTCTGTTTGGCTGCTCACGTAGGTCGTGAGTTGGATATGATTGAGCACCCCACCCCACCTCCGCTCCAACCCTCATCCTGACTCGAACCCTATCCCTCACCCTAACGAAACCTTAATCCAAACCATACCCCTATCCAACCCTAACTAACCCTTACTCTAACCACGGTGGCGAGATGTTAACTACCTCGCCTGGTGTACAGGAGGGCGTGGGTTTGATCCCGACCCTGACGCCTGCTGTGTATTTGGACTTTGCGTCTCTCTCTCCGTTGATTTTTCTCCGGGTTCTCCGAGTCCTCCGGGGTTTCCCTCCACATTTAGAAACACGCGTTTATAGTCTTTGAATGCGATAAAATTCCACGTGATAAGCTGCTTCGTCGAGGTATAATTTGTGGCCAGGTCGCTTCTGAAAAAGAGCTACACAGCTCCCCGGGTTCATAGTGCAGCGCGCTAACCGCTACACCACCGCTATAAGATAACACAAACAGACAGATAGAACGCGACAGACTGCAGTATCATCTTGACGCGGGATAGACGTCTAAAGCACAGACACACACACGTGTGCATTTCTGCCCGATGCGACATCGCTTTGCGGGAGGTGGGGGGGGGGGGGGCATCTCGGCAGCTCCGAACGGCGTGCAGGGACCTGCAAAGCGCGCCTCTCGTTCCGCCATCGCTGAAGTGCGCAACACGATCAGCGATATTCCGATCTCGCTTGGAAACACGACGCGGCCGCTGGCTGACTGGCCGCCTGCCTAGCGAGTTGGGGGGGGGGAGGCTGGAGGCGCAGTTGGGTGTCTGCTATTGCGACTGCTGCTGCTCTTTACCGTGAAGCCGACGCCCGCCTGGGTGTTTGTGGAACAAAAGGCGTCTTCTTTCAACACGGAGGCGGCGGGCGGGCGGGCGGGAGTGATGCTGACTACTGCCGCTGTGCGTGCATTCCTGCTGCTGCTGCTGCTGAGTTATGGAGGGAACTCGACGAGTTTGGATTCCCGTTGGTGCATAAATAGCGTCGCGAATGAGAATACATGCACACGCGCGTGTGAGTTTGTCCATCGGTACACTGCGTATATACACACACACACGCACACGACTACACGCGCGCACTATAACACACGTGCTCGCCGATCCACGAGCCCACCCCCCCACACGTCCACAAGACAAGAGAGAGAGAGACAGTCCCGTTGGACCCTGCAGACCAAACGCACAGGAACATCCCCCTAGCTCACCGCACACCCGCTTGTCCGAACGCTCCTGCAGCAACACAAACACGCACGGTGGCATGGCCTCATTCCACGGCTTCCAAATGAGCCGGGGTGCATCGTCGTCCTCCTACGGCCTTGGAGCGTCCGTCGCTCGAATGGCGGGGGGCGGAATGGGCACGTACGGTGGTGGTGGTGTTGCAGGGGGCTACGGCGTGTACGGCTCCGGTGCGGCGGGGCTCGGCCTGGGTTTAGGTGGTGGCTACGGGGTGGCCATGGGGCAAGGTGGCCTCTCGCTCCAGACGGGGCTCGGCGCGTCCCGCGGCTACGCCGTAGGCTACGGAGGCGGACTGGGTCTGGGTCTGGCTGCCGGGGGAGGCGGCGGGGCGCTCCTGCCGTACGGGAGCCCCGCGTTCGCCGCCGGGCGCTCAATGCTGTCGGGGGGCCTGGCCGGGGGGCATCCGCCGCTATCGCTCGCCACCGTGCCGCCTCTGGCCACTCGAAACGGGCACAAGGCCACGCTGCAGGGACTCAACCAGCGCTTCACGGGCTACGTGGAGAAGGCGAGTGGGGGGGGGGGGGGGGGGGGGGGCGGGAGCGGCGGCGACGCTCTTGATGGGATTTTTTTCTTTCGGTTTTTGTATCGCGTGTTTGTTTGTTTGTCGTGAAGTCTGACGTTTCGCTGTCACGTGCTGGAAGCTTCTTCGGTTCAAAACGCCCATCAGGAAAAGAGTCGGATAAATGCATTTCCGTATGGGATTTGAAATGTAGTTATTGTTTAGCTTCTTTACAAACGTTACATAGTTCTAAGGTACATTTTATTTCTTAACAGCTATTGCCAGTGTCAATTATTTGTGATTTATGTGCTGTGTATAGTAGACGGAATGCCTTTAAATTATTCACTTTTAGTGATCCCCTCCTCACTGTTTATAAGGTGCCATGAGATGCGATGGCATCACACATCCAACATTACTGTGTTGTATTGAGTTCTAACCTATTGCCTGTGCATATCTATATGATTTGTGAAAGTGTTAGACTCTGCTCAGCTCTCAATTATAGTGTGTCTGTTTTAGTCAGGAATTCCCCAAAACTTGTTTTAACCAGGGTCCTTTCTATAATGTTTACACAATTCCATTCTAGTGCAGAACCAAAGTGATTGTGATGGGTTTCTGTGTGTGTGTGCTCATGCGTGGCCAGGCTGAGACCATCAACTCCATACACTTCAAAACCAGTTCAGTTCTTTGTCACTGATGCGGCCTGGGTGTGCACATGTTTGCAAACAGTGGATTTGATGTGTGTGGAGCTGAACAGTGGATTTGATGAATCACTCAGTGAATCCACCATCATCATCGTCATCGTCGTCTCTGTTGAGTTGGCACCGCTGAGATCCTGGATTCGAATCCGGGTTTCAGAAACACAACATTACTTACTCCAGATTCTCGAGTGGGGCCAGTTTATGGTGTCAGCTCGGTCACCAACGAGCGTGCATTACTTTTGGTTCTGCGCCGATTGTTTATGTATGTGTGTATTATATATCCCGGCCCTGAGAATAGCCGGCGATGCGTTTGACGGTCACGCGACGAACATTTGCTGCTGCTGCTATAAATTTCTACGTGATAAGCCACTTCGTTGAGCTATCGTTTGCGATGACCAGGTCGCTGCTGAAAAATAGCTATATCGCTCACTGGGCCTTACCTGGTTAAATAAAAACAATGGTTTAGTTTAGTGATTGAACTATTTGCCGGCAAGTTTGCGGTCACGTGGGCACTGAGTTGCTTGACCCCTCAATGAGTGAGGAGCAGCTGATTGTTGGACCCGGCTGCGCGTGTAAAAGTGTAGTTTGGGCACGGTGAATCTGCAATCCGGATAATCGAGAGTTCATGGTGATCAAACGCTTTATTCCATACAGAAGGCACCTTCCCTGTACCCTCATCTCCTCTTCTTTCCTCCTTCACCTTAAAATAGCATCCCTCTCCTTCTGCTTACCCGCAATCCCTTCTAAACCTTCTCCTGGTTTATCGGTTTTTCGGGCCACTGGGGGGGGCGCATGGCCGATTCCTTCACGGATCCATCGCTGCGTCTTTCAAACTGAGACGGCTTCCGTCCAACGATTGACGTTGGACAGTCATACCGTGTGTGACCTTCCCTCGTTTCCCCCAGCACCTTCCAGTGATCCGTCCACCACGAGGTCTCGTCATCAGTCATTCCGGTCGCGTGTCTGAAACTTCGCATTTTTGCCAGATTTATTAGCCTCCATTATTTTTCTTGCTTTGTCCATAACTTTCCCTCATTCGCCTGTAAACATAAAAAAGATCTCTCCTCTGACCCACGATCTATTAACGCGCACGCCATTCTCTTTGTCCGGCTACCCGAGATGCGACAGAGAGAATTTCAGGGTCGAAATGCCATCACGACCAAAACCCGTTGATGCAACCTCAGAGCACGTGGTCGGATCCCTCAGAGCACATTGACGTCACAACGCGTCGCTTGTGTCAACCTGCGGACGCATCGACGGAATTCGACGCCGATCACGACTCAACGTTGCACCAGCCAAGGCCTGTCGCAACTTGATTATGTCAACGACGCTCATGAAGCAGCTGGCACGATGAGCTGTCTCATACAGGAATGTGATCAGCAAGGCCATGCTAGGGGGCGGGGGAAGGGGGGGCCTGGGGGGGGGGGGCGAGTTGAATTGGGGGGGGGGGCGAGTTGGAAAGAATCACAATCAAAAGGCCTCTCTCCACTCAGTGTAAACCACACACATACACGTGTTACATGGAGGCACGAAATACATTGAATGTGCGGCACACGTTCACGTTGCTCAGCTGTTGATCGTGATGTAACCTTGTTTGATTATTACACTCTGAAACACAATTTTTGTTCCTCAGTAGTAAATGTTATTTCGTAATTGCGTATGCCTAAAAAGTATAGCAAATGGTAATTGTTCCCGACAAACTTTGCTTTTGTGACCAGGACATTGATATTTTGAAATGTACCTATTTTCAATGTCAGAAACAGGAACAAAAAACACACACAAAAAATTGTTACACAGTGTTATCATCATTGCATCAGATCGCAGAAGCTCAGCGGGATTTTTTTTGTCAGCCTGCGCGGTGCGGTGCAGCGCTGGTAGCCCGCCGTGTGGGTAAACCACGCGCTGTAGGCCGCAGGCGGCGTCTCACCGAATTTATTTAAAAAAAAACTCTCCGTCGTGAACTTTTGCTGCCAGCTCATGACGGCGGGGAGAGGGGGGCGATGGGAGGGGTGGGGAAAGGGGGGGGGGGGTAGAACTATGGTAGAACTATCACTTGGCTGACACTTTTACTACTTTTAAATGGTTAGTTTAACAGGTTTAAAAAAACATGTATTTAAGAAATTAAATATATCCATATTTAACAGGAGAAAATAAAATCGTGAACAAATCAGCACATGCTGACGTGGTTTTTACCTGGTAAAAATAAAACAAGATTACGTTGAACATTTATTTCCGTCACTTCCAGTGCCGGATGAAGCTAGTGCAGGGCCTGTAGCATTTGTTATAAAGGGACCCTAAATAAAAACCACACGAATATTAAAACACACATTTTTAACGTGCATACTAAAGTTATTGTATTTTTTAATTTGCTATACAGCCAGATAACACGACAAATCGCTAACCTTAAGCACCCAGTCGTTCATAACAGTTGAAGGCAGTATAGTACTATAGTAATAGAGCAAGTGCAGAGTCACTGAACCGGAATTGATAGCTTGAAAGCATTTAGCGCGGGGCCCTTGAAAGTGCGGGGCCCGTAGCATACGTAGTTACTTTTCCTACGAGAATAATCCGGCACTGGTCATCTCTCATCTGAAACATTCAAAGGGCACCCTCAGTGGCAGCTGTCCCTGTGCGGCACACTATGACGCAGCATCCGGCCCGCAAGTGGGCATTGGTCTGCCAACTGGGGGCAATGATTGCCGCTATGTTTCTAAACCCGATCCAGTAAAATGTGGGGTAACTTTTAAATTATTTACGGAAAATTTGGATCCTACCGCCAGCACACAGTGTCTAACTGGTTTTTAATGACGTCATGAGATATTTAACGTCGACTGTAAATCACACAGCTCATGGAATATCACGGTGATTAAACAGGCCGCAGTAATAACCAGGGTTGCCTGCTGCATTCGAACCGCGAACCTCTGCAGCGAGTGGCAAACGCACTACGGCAGGGCAATGCCACCGGCCCCATGATAATGATGACGATGATTACTATGACGACGATGATTCAGACGATGATAACGATGACGACAAAGATGATTAAGCCAATGATAACGATGAACGACGACGATGGAGACGACGATAACGAGGACGCCGGCTTTGGCACGCGACCACAGGTGCGGCTCCTGCAGCGCGAGAACGCGGCGCTGGAGGCGCAGCTGAAGGTGCTGGCGGGGGGCGCGCCGTTGACCGCCGACGGAGACCTCGCGGTCGACTACGAGGAGCGCGTGGCCGCGCTGCGCTCCACGCTCGAGACGCTCGCCACGGAGGCCGTGAGCCTGGAGGTGGAGGCGGACAACGTGCGCGCCTCCGCCGACGAGCTCCGAGCCAAGTGAGCGGTCACTCTCCCTCGCCCTCTTCTCTGTATTGGCCATCAGAGGAGACGAGAAGATGCTCGGTGTAGTCGGCACTTTGCTTCGTTCATCATTTCGGTTTTTTTTCCCGATGCTTTGCTTTATGTAACCCCCCCCCCCCCCCTTTTTAATGGAAGATTCCACAAGAGACTTTACGCTCTGCTCTCCTCATTCTTACCCCTTCCCTCTCTCTACCCCTCTCTCTCTCTACACCCTCTCTCTACCCCCCTCTCTCTCTCTACCCCCCCTCTCTCTCTACCCCCCTCTCTCTCTGCCCCCTCTCTCTACCCCCCTCTCTCTCTGCCCCCTCTCTCTACCCCCTCTCTCTACCCCCTCTCTCTACCCCTTCTCTCTACCCCCCTCTCTCTCTACCCCCTCTCTCTCTATCCCCTCTCTCTACCCCCCTCTCTCTACCCCCTCTCTCTACCCCCTCTCTCTACCCCCCTCTCTCTCTACCCCCTCTCTACCCCATCTCTCTACCCCCTCTCTCTACCCCCTCTCTCTACCCCCTCTCTCTACCCCCTCTCTCTACCCCCCCTCTCTTTCTATCCCCTCTCTCTACCCCCTCTCTCTACCCCCTCTCTCTACCCCCTCTCTACCCCCTCTCTCTACCCCCTCTCTCTACCCCCTCTCTCTACCCCCTCTCTCTCTACCCCCTTCTCTCTCTACCCCCTCTCTCTACCCCCCTCTCTACCACCCTCTCTAGCCCCCCTCTCCACCCCCTCGCTCCCTACTCTATGTCTGTCTTCCCCCTGTTTTCTACGTAACATTTGTAAAAAAAATGTTTATCTCGCTCCTCCGTGGCCGCGGCTTCTGCGACGTCGCTTCCCTGCGGACGTTGACTCCGCAACTGAGTCGCGCGAGTGGATCGCGAGCGACCCGCGAGCGACTCGTGCGACCGAGTTGCATGCAACTCGGTTGCATGCGACTGAATCGCTTGTGCGTGGACGTCTGCTCGCGAGCGGTTGCGAGCAGTGGTTGCTCAAGCCAGGTCCAGTTGCACGCAACTCGGTTGCATGCAACTGGTTGCCTTCGACTGAATCACTTGTACAGTATGTGGACGTTTCTTGCGATCAGTTGCGAGCCGCAGTTGTGTAACTGGTTGCTTAAGCCAAGTTCCAGTTGAACACAACACAGCTGCACGCAACTGGTTCCAGGCGACTGAATCGCTCATACGTGGACGTATCTTGTTATTGGTTGCGAGCAACAAGCGCAACCGGTTGCTCCCAGTAGAAGTGGACTCGACTCTCCAAGCGTCGCTCCGCTTGGCGATCTGTAGCGACGCGTTTCATTCGCCGTGTGCCGCGCGTTTTGCAAACTCTGATCCTGGACGCGCTGTCGAACGTCCTCGTCGGTTTTAAATATTTATGCACAGCGGCTCGCTCGGGAGTGGACAAAGCAGTTGCAGGCGATGATTACGTTTGAGTGATGACTTTGCGCGTGACCAAGGGTGGACCCGGCTGTTCCGCACAACGACGATTACACCCACGTTGCCTCCGTGGGGAGCGGCGGTGACCCGCGTTTTCATTCCCGGCCAACGTCAGTGGCGAGGGATGCCTGAACATGTTCTTGTTCACGGCTACCCCCCTACTCACCGCTACCCCCCTACTCACCGCTACCCCCCTACTCACCGTTACCCCCCTACTCACCGTTACCCCCTACTCACCGTTACCCCCTACTCACCGCTACACCCCTACTAACCGCTACCCCCCTACTCACCGTTACCCCCTACTCACCGTTACCCCCCTACTCACCGCTACCCCCCTACTCACCGCTACCCCCCTACTCACCGCTACCCCCCTACTCACGCTACCCCCCTACTCACCGCTACCCCCCTACTCACCGCTACCCCCCTACTCACCGTTAACCCCTGCTCACCGTTACCCCCCTACTCACCACTACCCCCTACTCACGTCTACCCCCTACTCACCGACCCCCCTTACTCACCGTTACCCCCCCTCCTCACCGCTACCCCCCTACTCACCGACCCCCCCCTACTCACCGCCCCCCCTACTCACCGCTACCCCCCTACTCACCGCTACCCCCCTACTCACCGCTACCCCCTACTCACCGCTACCCCCTACTCACCGCTACCCCCCTACTCACCGACCCCCCCCCTACTCACCGCTACCCCCCTACTCACCGCTACCCCCAACTCACCGCTACCCCCCTACTCACCGACCCCCCCCTACTCACCGCTACCCCCAACTCACCGCTACCCCCTACTCACCGCTACCCCCCTACTCACCGCTACCCCCTACTCACCGCTACCCCCATACTCACCGCTACCCCTCTACTCACCGCTACCCCCCTACTGACCTGCTACCCCTCTACTCACCGCTACCCCCCTGCTCACTGCTACCCCTCTACTCACCGTTATCCCCCCTACTCACCGCTACCCCCTACTCACCAACCCCCCTACTCACCGCTACCCCCCTACTCACCGCTACCCCCCTACTCATCGCTACCCCCCTACTCACCAACCCCCCTACTCACCGACCCCCCCCCCCTACTCACCGTTCCCCTACTCACCGCTACTCCCCTACTCACCGACCCCCCGTACTCACCGCTACCCCCTACTCACCGCTACCCCCCTACTCACCGCTACCCCCTACTCACCGACCCTCCCTACTCACCGCTACCCCCCTACTCATCGCTACCCCCCTACTCACCAACCCCCTACTTCACCGACCCCCCCCCTACTCACCGTTCCCCCTACTCACCGCTACTCCCCTACTCACCGACCCCCCTACTCACCGCTACCCCCTACTCACCGCTACCCCCCCTACTCACCGCTACCCCCCTACTCAACCGACCCCTCCCTACTCACCGCTACCCCCCTACTCACCGCTACTCCCCCTACTCACCGTGCCCCCTACTCACCGCTACCCCCCTACTCACCGGCGGTGACTGGCACGGCACGGGAGTGCTACTGATGTTGGCCGTGAGCCGGGATCAAAATCAGTCTACTGGATTCGTAGCGCGTTGTATGCTAACCGCTGCGCCACCGCTCCAAAAGACAAAATCCCCCGTGTAGCCTTAACATACTGTTGGGGCAAGTGCTGTTAGCGAGTAGCACCTGTGAAGGTCGGCACGGCACACGATGGGCTGTGCGGCCAGCACCACGCCCGACCGCCTTTGTCTCCCCAGTGGCAATGTTTACACACCGCACCAGGTACTCATTTGAGACTGAGTCGACCTAGGGGAGGCCCAGTACCGGTCCAGATAATCGTCACTGCTGTTGACCGTGAGCTGGAATCGAACTCGGGTGGCCGGGTTCGTAGCGCAGCGCGCTAACCATTCCAACACCACCGCCACCACCACCATCACCACAGTAATCAGCAATAACACCACAACTGCTCACCAAACACGCTGGCCCATGTAGTATACACGAAGCCGTCACTGCTGCTGCAGGACGAGCGGCGCAGACGGTAACGAGAGCGCTCCGCACGCCGAGTGATCGATGGGCGTCGTTGCGGCGTGCAGGTACGAGTTCGAGACGGGCATTCGTTACCAGCTGCAGTCGGACATCAGCCTCATGAAGAAGGTGAGTGGACGTTGCCGCGGTCGGCCGACAACGACTGCGGGCGGGGGTGGGGAGGGGGCGGTCAGATCGCCTCGTAAGTCGAACCGTGCGCCGTGACACGTGACACGGCCAGTGAATAAAGTTGTCACGTGTCGCGAACACACGCGGCCAATTTATGGTCGCCTCGGAGCAACGTCACACGATTTCAATGTGGAGCGACGCTCCGCTGACGCTGCAGCTAGAGACGGCGTCACCATCATCGTCATCGTCGGGGAGAATTTGCGAAAAGGTTCTCCAGTCTCGTGAGGTCTGCTCACACACCAGTTGTGAGTCGTGATATTGGATCACGATAATCCTCCGTGTTCGATGTGGACGTCCGTTTAGTTTCACGTTCCGAGTTCGATTTTTGTTTCAGCGGCTGAGAATTCAAGTTGACTGGAATCGTGGGAAAAGGAGAGCATTCACCCTCTCTGGCAAAAAACACAGCAGATGTTAAGACGTTGAAACACACCAAAAAGACACACACCTATATCACAAGGCGTCAGGTCTGCCTTAACCAAACATACCTGTGGTAAAAATCAAAAACCAACCAACAAAGATGCTTTCACAACAATGTTACGCATTGCCCTTGAAACGGATTGGCCTAACGCCGGCGACAGCCTCTTGTATGCCTTCGTCTCACCGGTGCCATAGATCAAAGGGTGAAACAAAGGCGAACAGCACGAGAAGAATGAGAACACCAAAGCATGAACGCGTAGGAGGCTTTCGCGACCAATATCATCCGTAACACGGGTGCCTTGGGTTACATCGCGCCGTTCTAATTACTGGCGAAACGTCGTACTCGGATTGTAAATGTTGTGGCTTGGCTCTCCAACACACCGGTGTGCTGTACTAGTATACTACACTATACACTACACTATACACTACACTTATACACTGTACTACACACTGCACTATACACTACACTATACACTACACTTATACACTACACAATACACTACACTATACACTACACTACTATACACTACACTATACACTACACTATACACTACACTATACACTACACTATACACTACTATACACTACACTATACACTAGTGCTGTACTAGTGACGAATTGGCCACGTTCTGTGTACGTGACGAACCTTACTAATTAGTTGTGTCGGGTGGTGGCGGGTTTAGCGACACATGTATATATTTACGCGATCTAACCCAAACTAAAACCTCTATAATGGATAGGCCCTCATTTGCAAGAGTGGCCTGGCTCACCAAAAGTGGCAAAAAGCTCAAACAAAGCGAACTAAAAAGGCCCGGCAGTGAAGCAAATCGCAATCGGGCCCACAACAAAACGCAACCGCGTCACGCGAGGCATCGAGAAAGGCTGCACAAACGCAAATCAGCGCCGAAGACTCAACTCAGACGCATCCCGAGGCCGATCCCAGGGCATTGACGCGTTCATTGACGGGAGCATCAAACGGATATGTACGTGCGTACTGTAGGACTTCTTTCGCACCGTACGTAGCCAACCGTGCTCATCGGAGGTGCGGCTAAGAACAAAAGGACAGTAAACACGTGCGTCGATTTAGTTGATTTGTCATTATACTGCACGGAGATTTGCAGACACAATGAGGTTGTTGTGCAAGGCTGGGCAGAGGTGATTTAATAGAAGCAGCACAGCATGACTGGGGTAAGGGAGTTCCAGACACTGGGAGCAGCACAGCAGAATGAGCGACCCCCCACCCCCACCGACCGGACAATTGTTTGACTGGGTACGTAGACACGACGTGTTGGTTGGTGGAGCGGAGAGTGCGTGGAGGGGAGTAGAGTGAGATGAGATGGAAGAGGTAGGAGAGTGCGTGGAGGGGAGTAGAGTGAGATGAGAGGTAGAAGAGTGCGTGGAGGGGAGTGGAGTGAGATGAGAGGGGAGAGGTAGGAGAGTGCGTGGACGGGAGTAGAGTGAGATGAGAGGCAGGAGAGTGCGCGGAGGGGAGTAGAGTGAGATGAGATGGGAGAGGTAGGAGAGTGCGTGGAGGGGAGTAGAGTGAGATGAGAGGCAGGAGAGTGCGCGGAGGGGAGTAGAGTGAGATGAGATGGGAGAGGGAGGAGAGTGCGCGGAGGGGAGTGGAGTGAGATGAGAGGCAGGAGAGTGCGCGGAGGGGAGTAGAGTGAGATGAGATGGGAGAGGTAGGAGAGTGCGTGGAGGGGAGTAGAGTGAGATGAGAGGGGAGAGGGAGGAGAGTGCGCGGAGGGGAGTAGAGTGAGATCAGAGGGGAGAGGGAGGAGAGGGTGTGGAGGGGAGTGGAGTGAGATGAGAGGTAGGAGAGTGCGTGGAGGGGAGTAGAGTGAGATGAGATGGGAGAGGCAGGAGAGTGCGCGGAGGGGAGTAGAGTGAGATGAGAGGGGAGAGGTAGGAGAGTGCGCGGAGGGGAGTGGAGTGAGATGAGAGGTAGGAGAGTGCGCGGAGGGGAGTGGAGTGAGATGAGAGGGGAGAGGTAGGAGAGTGCGTGGAGGGGAGTTGAGTGAGATGAGAGGGGAGAGGGAGGAGAGTGAGTGGAGGGGAGTAGAGTGAGATGAGAGGGGAGAGGGAGGAGAGAGCGTGGAGGGGAGTACAGTGAGATGAGAGGGAGGAGAGTGCGTGGAGGGGAGTAGAGTGAGATGAGAGGGGAGAGGGAGGAGAGTGCGTGGAGGGGAGTGGAGTAAGATGAGAGGGGAGAGGGAGGAGAGTGCGTGGAGGGGAGTGGAGTAAGATGAGAGGGGAGAGGGAGGAGAGTGCGTGGAGGGGAGTGGAGTAAGATGAGAGGGGAGAGACAGGAGAGTGCATGGAGGGGAGTGGAGTGAGATGAGAGGGGAGACGGAGGAGAGTGCGTGGAGGGGAGTGGAGTGAGATGAGAGGTAGGAGAGAGCATGGAGGGGAGTGGAGTGAGATGAGAGGGGAGACGGAGGAGAGTGCGTGGAGGGGAGTGGAGTGAGATGAGAGGTAGGAGAGAGCGTGGAGGGGAGTGGAGTGAGATGAGAGGGGAGAGGGAGGAGAGTGCGTGGACGGGAGTGAGATGAGAGGGGAGAGGGAGGAGAGTGCGTGGAGGGGAGTGGAGTGATGAGATTAGTCATGCGGGATGAGATTAGTCATGCGGGGAGGCAGGAGTTGAGTCTATGGAGGGAATGTTGAAGGTGCCAGTGCGATGTTGACATTCTGTTCTTGCTCTCTGCGTGCGTCTGACGGTGGTGTCCCCCCCCCCCACCCCTGGCAGGACATCGAGTTTGCGAACGATTCCAAGGTCACCCTGGCCACCAAAATGACCTCCCTCACGGAAGAGCTCGCGTTCCTCAAGATTAATTACGAGGAGGTACGTGCTGGGCTGAAGGCGCTCCACCACCAGAGTCACGCCGCGTCTGCCAGCAACACCGTTGCGATCCCATTCTTCCTTCCTTCCTTTCCTTCCGTTCCCTCGGCCTTAGGGGCTGACGGCGTGCGAACGTTTCCTTCACTGGCATCTCTTAGCAGAGGTCCCTTCGCGTCTCTCTGTGTGTCGCGGCATCCTTCGAAGCGAGTCCGGTGTGGTGATGTCTGACATCTGTCGGGTGCTGACACCGGTGCCGCAGCGCCCTTGTCGGTGTGGATGTATGCACGTTAAACTTCTTTAGCACCATACGTAGCCAACCGCGTGAATAGGGGGTGCGGGGAAAGGACAAAAAAACTAAACACAAAACGCAGCTCGAACGAAATGAGCTTCCGATATAAGTGATTTAATAGTGCATGGCTGCAGTGGTGTCCCAACATCGGAGGGAAGAGCGCTCCAGACGGCCGCAGAAGCGCACCTCCCGAAAGCGAGCGACGCGGTGACCGTGGTTTGCAGAGGCCTCGGTGGAGCAAAAATTAAACGGGGACCGAGATCCACCTCCCCCACCTCCTTCTCCTCCCCCCTCGATCTTCTTCATAGCCCTGTACCTGGGCCCCCTCCTTCCCGTGGGCCACGTGGACACCAGTTGCCACCCAGCGTCGTGGCGCGTGAGATTGATGGCCTCGCGCCAAGTGTATCTTTGTAGAACTTCCTTTGCCCCGTACGTCGCCAACCGTGTTGATGGGCAAGGGTGCCCATGGAGGCGAATGGTAATAATAATAATCATACCATCGAGGTGGCACAAGCGGAAAGGCAGGAACGGGCCGACTCAACCGGGACGTGCCCGAGCTCGTCAGATCTCCGTAGCTAAGCCGGCCTTAGAGACTGGATAAATGCATTCGGCGGGTGGGTAACCACCGTGCATGAAACGGGTGCTATAGCCTGCTGCGGGGCTTACGTGGTGGACAGCAGAGGCGATTGCAGAAACATCCACGGTTGAACTGTACATCGCTGCAATCGTCTGTTCACCCCCGCCTCGCCGACCCGCACCGACCCAGCGTGGTGAAGGTGAGGTCCAGCGAACCCCCACGACCTCGCACGGCGTGGGGAGCCACACAAACCCCGCTGAGTTGAGTGACGAAAGCCTCGCCGCTTTGTCACTCCACTGACCGGGCCACGGGCGAGAGGAATACTGGACGTGGTGATGCCGGGTGTGGAAATGTGTCCCGGGGCGGCTGGCGGCGGGCCGCAGCGGTGAGCCGGTGGCGCGGCAGCGGCGTTCCAGGGGTCACGGGAGCGCGAGAGGGGGCGACGGGTGACTTGACGTGGCCGCTGCTGATGGGGAGGGGTGGTGGTGGTGGTGGTGGCGGCGTGCAGGAGATGACGACGTACCACGCCCGGCTGGGCTCCACCGAGTCGACGTCGGCCGTCATCGAGCTGGACACGGTCCGCTCGGTCGACGTCACCACGGCGCTCTCCAAGATCCGCGACGAGTACGAGGAGTTGGCGCGGAAGCACCGAGCGGAGGCGGAGGCCTACTACACCAGCACGGTAAGGCGTCGCCAAACTCCCTGCCAGGCTCCGTGGGCGTCGCCAAACTCCCTGCCAGGCTCCGTGGGCGTCGCGAAACTCCCTGCCAGGCTCCGTGGGCGTCGCCAAACTCCCTGCCAGGCTCCGTGGGCGTCGCCAAACTCCCTGCCAGGCTCCGTGGGCGTCGCGAAACTCCCTACCAGGCTCCGTGGGCGTCGCGAAACTCCCTGCCAGGCTCCGTGGGCGTCGCCAAACTCCCTGCCAGGCTCCGTGGGCGTCGCCAAACTCCCTGCCAGGCTCCGTGGGCGTCGCCAAACTCCCTGCCAGGCTCCGTGGGCGTCGCGAAACTCCCTGCCAGGCTCCGTGGGCGTCGCGAAACTCCCTGCCGGGCTCCGTGGGCGTCGCGAAACTCCCTGCCAGGCTCCGTGGGCGTCGCGAAACTCCCTGCCAGGCTCCGTGGGCGTCGCGAAACTCCCTGCCAGGCTCCGTGGGCGTCGAGGGCGCTGCCGTGCCCGCGCTCGCCGGTGGGAAGCCGTTGCGGCGTTGCGGCAAGCGCGGGCCGGGCGGGGGGGATAGAGCGTTGCACCCTCGCGCGCGGTGTGGGGTTTCCTCCCACGTGCATTGTGAACGCTCGTTAATGAATTGGCTGAAGGCGTTTTGATGGGTGTCCTGGGACTCCCCTAGGTCGACTCAGCCTCAAATTAGTAACTGGTGCGTCGTGTAAACATCGTCGCTGGGGGAGACAAAGGCGGCCGGGCGTGGTGTTGGCCACCCGCCCCCCCCAACCTCGTGTGCCGTGTTGGCCTTCAAAGGCGCTCGCTAACAGCACTTGCCCCAACAGTCTATTAAGGCATGTCGTGGATCGCGCAGCGTTGAGCGTGATGCGGTTCGCGGCCGTGTCACGCGTGGCTGTTCCTCGCCAGGTGGAGCAAATCCAGGAGTCCACGGTGCAAACGACGGCGGCGATCACGGAGCTCAAGACGGAGCTGAGCACGGTGCGGAAGGAAGCGCAGAGCCGCTACTTGGAGCTGCAGACCACGCTGTCCGAAGTACGGCTCGCCCGCACTGACCCACACTCACCCACACTGACCCACACTCACCCACACTGACCCACACTCACCCACACTCACCCACACTCACCCGCACTGACGCACATTGACCCACACTCACCCACACTGACCCACACTCACCCACACTGACCCACACTGAACCAACACTCACCCACACTGACCCACACTGACCCACACTCACCCACACTGACCCACACTGACCCACACTCACCCACGATGACCCACACTGAACCACACTGACCCACACTCACCCACACTCACCCACGATGACCCACACTCACCCACGATGACCCACACTCACCCACACTCACCCACGATGACCCACACTCACCCGCACTGACCCACACTCACCCACACTGAACCACACTGACCCACACTCACCCACACTCACCCACGATGACCCACACTCACCCGCACTGACCCACACTGACCCACACTCACCCACGATGACCCACACTCACCCGCACTGACCCACACTGACCCACACTCACCCACACTGACCCACACTGACCCACACTCACCCACACTGACCCACACTCACCCACACTGACCCACACTGACCCACACTCACCCACACTGACCCACACTGACCCACACTGACACACACTGAACCACACTGAACCACACTCACCCACAATGACCCACACTCACCCACACTCACCAACACTCACACACCGATGACCCACAATGAACCACACTCACCCACACTCACCCGCACTGACCCACACTGAACCACACTCGCCCACACTCACCCACACTGAACCACACTCACCCACAATCACCCACACTCACCAACACTCACCAACACTCACCCCTGCTCACTGTCGCTGGCCTGCACTCGCCCGCACTCGTCCGCACTCTCCCTGTGGCAGAGCTACTCCCTGGAGCAGACAGTGGCGATGTCCTCGGCCCGCAGCAGCACCAGCGTGGCGAGCTACCAGTCGACCTTTGCCAGCCTCGAGGTGGCCATCTCCACCGCCAAGTCGGACCTGCAGCGCCAGCTCGTGGCGTACCAGGCGCTTGTGGATGTCAAGCTGGTGCTGGACGCGGAGATAGCCACCTACAAGCGCCTGCTGGAGGGCGAGGAGGACATGTGGGCGACCGCTCGCACTCACATGCGCGTGACCCCGCGCGTGACCCTGTGCGACCCCACTTGAGCTCGTCTGACCCCACGCGTGACCCCGTGCGTGACCCCGCGCGCGACCCCGTGCGGTACCCCGCGCGTGACCCTGTGCGACCCCGTCACGACCCCTCGTGACACCGCGCATGACTCCACGTGACCCTACGAGTGACCCCGTACGTGACCCCTCGCGACCCCGTGTGCGACACCACACGTGACCCCGCGCGACACTCCGCGCGATCGTAACGACGTCGCAAAGCTGGAATAATGCGATGGGGAGTAATGTGAGTATTTTGGCTGCTGCTATAAATAGCCACATGATGAGCCACTACGTTGAGCTCTCATTTGTGTCCAGGTCGCTTCTGAAAAATATCTATACAGCTCAGTGGGCCTTACCTGGTAAACCATTTTTCTTGCAAGACGATTGGACCGCGATTGTAACGCGACCGTAAGGCGAGACTAACGCGTGCATCTCCATCTCTCTCTCTCTCTCCTCCACTGTGCATCTCTCCATCTCTCCGCCCCGACCCCGCAGTCTGGGCGGCGTCAACATCTCTCCGAGCGGCGTAAGGTTCTCATCCGCCTCCCCTGTGTCGTCCGGAGGGGGCAGCGTCGTCCGGGCCACGAGCATCAGCGGCTCCCACGTGGCCACCGCCGCCACCGCCGCCGCCGCCGCCGCCGTGGCCGCCGTGGCCGCCGCCGCGGCTCTGCCGGTCGGCCTCGGCGTTTCAGTACCGGTGGCGGTGGAGGTCCCCGTGCTGGCCCCCGTCGTGGCCGCCACTGTCACCGCGGCGGCGGAGGCCGTCGTGGTGACCACAGAAACGTTCGAAGAGGTCACCGCGAGCAGCAGCTCAAGCTTCAGTGAGGTGTCCAGCAGCAAGGTCGCCACGACGAGCGGAGAGGGTGAGAGCGACGCACGCGCACGCTCACTCACAAAAGACAAAGATCCCCCGTGCAGCCTGTAACAGACTGTTGGGGCAAGTGCTGTCAGCGAGCGCCTATGAAGCACACGAGGTGGTGGGTGGCCAACACCACGCTCGGCCGCCTTTGTCTCCCCAGTGGCGATGTTTACTGCACACCGCACCAGGTACTCGTTTGAGGTATTGGCCGTGAGCGGGAATCGAACCTGGGTGACCGGGTTCGTAGCGCAGCGCGCTAATCGCTACACTGCCGTTCCCCACGCACGGACTCACACACACGCTCACACACTTGCGCGCTCACGCACACACTCATGCGCATACTCACTCACTCGCACGCACTCACACACAAAGACAAAGATCCCCCATACAGCCTTCAACAGACTGTTGGGCAAGTGCTGTTAGCGAACACCAATGCAGGCCGGCACTGCCCACGGTGAGGTGGATGGCACCACGCTCTGGCCCCCATTATCTTCCCAGTGGCGATGTCTTTACGCACGCAATAGGTGCTCGGGGGAGCCCAGGATCTGTTCAAATATTCACCACTGCTATTGGTCACGAGCGGGAATCGAACTCGGGTCGTCGGTTTCGTAGCACGATGCGCCAGCCACTGCTTCCCACCAAACCACTCACGATCACACACATCCGGCACAATGCATGTTTCGTTTAGTTGACGTGGTTTTATTATTTTGCCCTTTTTCCCGTTCTTCCAAAATTATGATCCCCTTGTACTGGCTGTGTGATCAAATCACGAGATTTTGTCATTTTAATTTGAAATATTCCTGCTTCAAAATGTAACAAAAAAAAGAGTCTAAGTGATTTCCTGCTCACATGAGCATTGAGGCATTGGCACTCATCTCACGTTTACAGCTTTTCTGAACCAGTGGTGGAAATTCCTCATTCCAGTGTTGACTTCGCCACAGAGCGATACTCATTTCATTGACCCCGGAGGGATGATTACAAGCGGTGGAACTCGCAACTTTCCGACTGCGAGCCGCTCGCTCTACCGCTGAAGCCACCTCGCGGGTTCGGAAATGTTCCAGGACGGAAGAGGGCAGCTCAGGCGGGCAGGCGGGCAGGCAGGCGGGCAGGCAGGCGGGCAGGCGGGCAGGCAGGGCAGGCAGGCGGGCGGGCAGGCAGGCAGGCAGGCGGGCAGGCAGGCAGGCAGGCGGGCAGGCAGGCAGGCGGGCAGGGCAGGCGGGCAGGGCAGGCAGGCAGGCAGGCGGGCAGGGCAGGCAGGCAGGCGGGCAGGGCAGGCAGGTGGGCAGGCGGGCAGGAAGGGTTCAGCGATATCAGCCACGTCTCTTTCATGCAAACGTCTGTTGGCGTTGGTCCAAGATCACGCTACAGATTGCACGAAGCTTTGCTTATCGCCAAATCACGCGGAGCGCGCAACCAATGCTCGTGGGTGGACAGAACCAGTGGTGGGGGGGGGGGGGGGGGCAGTGTGTGGAGTCAGATTTAAGAAACTTGCACCAATGTTTCGCCCACTCTGTGAGATCGAGCGAGCGACCTCTGACCTCTCAATTGCAAGTTCCGCTGTGCGAAGGGGATTTAACCGGTTTCATTAAAACGGTCAGAACCCAAATTGGCTGAACACAACCGTGTGCCGCTACAGCAAAACTGCGAGCAGAACCCCGGACACGTCGCCACCTGGCCGCTTGTCACACCTCACGACTCGATGAACGTGCCAATAAACACGCCCACCGTGGCAGCATATCCTGATGCCTGCATATTTGGAGTTTGCATCTCCCTCTCTCTCTCTCTCTCTCCCCCCCCCCCCGTGGTCGCGTGGATTTTTTTCTAAGGGTCCGCCAGTTTTTCCGTCCACATTTAGAATCAACAGTATTTGTCTGCTATACATTTTCACACGATGATAAGCCACTTCGTTGAGCTATCATTTGTGGCCAGGTAACGTCTGAGAAAGAGCTATAAAAGCTCAGCTGGCCTTACCTAGTCAAATACAAAGTTTAGTTTTTAGTTTGAGTCAGCAAACGGAGAGAAAGCATAACGACAGCGGGCAAACGGACACCGCATCTCGCCGCGTCACACCAATTTTGTTAATGGTAGCGATCCCCTATAGTTCAGTTGGTTGGCCATTCTAAAAAATGTTCGCTGGCCAAAAAAAAAAAAAATCCGTCATTTGTGTTTTTGTTGCACCGTGCCAAGTTTCGTTCCTTTTTAGCTAACGCCCAGCGCCTTCTCCTTGTCTCCGTGCAGAGCTGCTGGGGACTGACCTGGCCACCACCGCCGCTGCCATCGCTGCCACGGCGGAGTAGAGGTGCGGCCCTCTGGCCTGCCGCGAGACGCCGAGCGGCATTGAGAGGCCGCGCGCGGCGATTTGATGCATCGGCTGTCGCGACCGATATTCCTCGCAATGAAGGGTTTTTTTTCTTGGGTTCGATAGCATAAAAAGGATAAATGTACGTATGTATGTAGATCCTCCTTCGCATCGTACGCAGCCAACCGTGCTAACTGGAGGTGTGGATGCGTTTGTCACGTAAACAATTCTGGCAAATCACTTGAAGCTCGTGGTTGTTGTTGTAATTGCCAGCGAAACGTCAAAGTACTCAAAATTGCAAATGTCATGCGTTTACTCTCCAACACACCGGGTGTGCTCAAGTAGTAACTAGTCACCCTGCTGCTCTATATAAAACCGGGAGCAAGCGAGGGCTTTACCATTCTGGCGAATTGCCCGATGATGCTGGATGTATTTACCAGCGAAACGTCGTACTCAAACTGTAAATGTTGTGGATTCACTCTTCAACACACCGGTGGGCTAAAGTAGTGAATTATTTGTCTTTTGTCAACGTGACACTTTTTTTGCTGATTGGCCGTGTCGGGTGGTGGAGGGTTACGACACATTTATAAATAAACGCGATCTAACCCAAAAACCTTTATTATGAAAAAGTAGTAACTAATTGGCACGTTTTGTTTACGTGACGTAACTTTACTAATTGGCTGTGTCGGGTGGTGGTGGGTAAACGACACATTTATATTTACGCGATCTAACCCAAAAAAAACCTCCAATGGATAATATTGTTTGTTAAAGTGACACGCTATTCAAATGCACGTAGAAATTCCATTGCAAATTATAAATATATAATATTAACTATGGTTATTATTCTCAAAATAGGACACACATCTTGCGTGTGCTAAGGTTCGTGGAACACTTATATTTTTCCAGGCGGCAGGCTATCAAAAAAATAGAATTTCCATAAAGGAGGGTCAGTGTGGTTACAGGGCACAGCCCTGCAATTGCTTACTCAAATCACTGCTGATGGAAGGGGCCTCCCTTAATCCCAAAGCTTACTTAATTCACAATAACATCGCGATACTTTTCTCTTAAAACTATTTGCAGTTTAGCTGTGTAGCGGTTAGCGCGCTGCGCCATGAACCTGGCGACCCGGGTTTGATTCCCGCTCACGGCCAACACCAGTGACGATTATCTGAACGGGTCCCGGGCCTCCCCTAGGTCGACTCAGCCTCAAATGAGTACCTGGTGCGGTGTGGAAACATTGCCACTAGGGAGACAAAGGCGGTCGGGCGTGGTGCTGGCCACCCACCCCCTCGTGTAACGTTCCGGCCTTCATAGGTGCTCGCTAACAGCACTTGCCCCTACAGTCTGTTAAGGCTATATGGGGGATCTTTATCTTTGTGTGTCTTCGCGTGTGTGTGCGCGTGTCTGCGTGTGTGTGCGTGTGTGTGCGTGTGTGTGCGCTTGTCTGCGTGTGTGTGCGCGTGTCTGCGTGTGTGTGCGTGTGTGTGCGTGTGTGTGCGCTTGTCTGCGTGTGTGTGCGTGTGTCTCCGCGTGTGTGTGCAGGTGATGGCGCTTGAGACGACAGCTTAGGAAGCGGAGTGATGCGTGGGCATCATCCCGGGACCAATCCGCGTCGGCTTTCGTTGTTTCTTTTGCCGCTCCTCCTCAGCTCTCCTCGGCCACTCGCTGGTGGCTCTTTTGCGCGCGTGCCTTGAGCGCAGGCTGTGGCGTGCCGGTGGAATGTACTCCCTCTCAGCTTTGGGTTTCCACCCAGCGCCACCCGTGGGGCCAAGCGATCGCTGTGCACGCACTCGCCACGCGTCGATCTTCAGCGCACGTACGCAGAACTCTCGTCCGCGTCTCCACCTATCAATAATAACGGTAATGACATGATCTGGCCCAGTGGCTCTCAACCGGGGTGTACGTGGACCCCTGCAGGCACGTGACAATTGTCCTAGGGGGTGCGCGAGGTGATTTTTTAACGTGTAAAATGATAACGTATGAATCTGCCAATAAAAAATCATATTTACCAGCGAACGTCGTACTCAAACTGTAAATGTGGATTCACTCTTCAACACACCGGTGGGCTAAAGTAGTGAATTATTTGTATTTTGTCAACGTGACACCTTTTTTTGCTGATTGGCCGTGTCGGGTGGTGGAGGGTTACGACACATTTATAAATAAACGCGATCTAACCCAAAAACCTTTATTATGAATTATTATGAAAAAATAACTACGATAACATTTAAATCCGCACAGTAGCCTAGAACGGTATCATAGACTTCTCTAAACTCATCTTCTTTGGTTCTTTCGGTAAAGTCACGTATAATGAGAATAAAATCATAAATTGATAAAATAAAATAACACAATAATTTTCTCACGACGTTTCGGCCACAACACAAGCGACCTTCATCAGGTGAAGGGGACGAGACTGTCTGAAGGCCGCTTGTGTTGTGGCCGAAACGTCGTGAGAATATTATTGTGTTATTTTATTTTATCAATTTATTATTTTATTCTCATTCTACGTGACTTTACCGAAAGAACCAAAGAAGATGAATCCTTGCAGTCACGAAAGCTTTAAATCGAAATTTCTCTAAAGTCATTGATGGTAAACAATGCGGTTTCTATGAGTAACCAGCGAGCTCGAACACGTTACGTCACGCGTGCTGAGCGTCCGTTGAATTTTGTATTCGCTTGCAGTTACTCGCTAGTTCGGATAACCTCACAAAATGGAAAATAATGTTAAAGTATTGAAGTTTCTTTAATCATACATTTTATTTCTTAGAACCATGTTGGGGTCAGGTAAGGGGGGGGGGGTACTCGGTAGAAACGAAATTTAATAAGTGACGTGTCGGAGCCAAAACGAGGATGAGACCCAATGCCGAAGTCCATCGGCCTGCTTGCTCTCTCCAGACCAATGTTGATACTCGTAATGTCAACTCGTATCGCATCGCTGCACAGTATTTTGCTCGCTCTCGTGGCGAGAGAGGGGGGGGGGGAGAACGACTCAGAGGCGCGCGGATCCCCGGATAAGCGGGGAGGGCAGCAACACGGTGGCTGTTATTTTTTACCAAGCTTCAGTTCAGTTTCAGTTTTCAGTTTCATTTATTTGGTATAGCCCTGTGAGTCATTCGGCTCTTGAATCGGGTGCAACCGCAACAAACAAAAAACAAAAACATGAACAAGAAAACATCTTAAAGTGACTTTGTGACTGTGCAAACAGAAAAATCCAGGAAAAAAACATCAAAATATTCCAGAAAAAACACCGTACACCAACGCTGTGTGCAAAAATCCCAGTGGGATGCAAGTCAAACTACAACAACAAGACAACTTAGATTAAAGCCATCAGTCTAACTCCGTACTACAACAAACAAACATGGCCAAACCAAAAAAACTTTTTGAAATCACCAAAATAAAGCCATAAAAGCAATATAACAGAAATCCGCAATGTAACAGTGATCGGCAATGTAACAGTGATCCGCAATGTAACAGTGCTCGCAATGTAACAGTGATCCTCAATGTAACAGTGATCCGCAATGTAACAGTGATCCGCAATGTAACAGTGATCCTCAATGTAACAGTGCTCCGCAATGTAACAGTGCTCCGCAATGTAACAGTGATCCGCAATGTAACAGTGATCCGCAATGTAACAGTGATCTGCAATGTAACAGTGATCCTCAATGTAACAGTGCTCGCAATGTAACAGTGCTCGCAATGTAACAGTGCTCCGCAATGTAACAGTGCCCCCCAATGTAACAGTAATCCGCAATGTAACAGTGCTCGCAATGTAACAGTGATCCGCAATGTAACAGTGATCCGCAATGTAACAGTGCTCGCAATGTAACAGTGATCCGCAATGTAACAGTGATCCACAATGTAACAGTGATCCGCAATGTAACAGTGATCCGCAATGTAACAGTGATCCGCAATGTAACAGTGATCCACAATGTAACAGTGATCCGCAATGTAACAGTGATCCGCAATGTAACAGTGCCCCCCAATGTAACAGTGCTTGCAATGTAACAGTGATCCGCAATGTAACAGTGATCCGCAATGTAACAGTGATCCGCAATGTAACAGTGATCCGCAATGTAACAGTGATCCGCAATGTAACAGTGCCCCCCAATGTAACAGTTATCCGCAATGTAACAGCGATCCGCAATGTAACAGTGATCGCAATGTAACAGTGATCGGCAATGTAACAGTGATCCTCAATGTAACAGTGATCCGCAATGTAACAGTGATCGGCAATGTAACAGTGATCCGCAATGTAACAGTGATCCGCAATGTAACAGTGCCCCCCAATGTAACAGTGATCGGCAATGTAACAGTGATCCACAATGTAACAGTGATCCGCAATGTAACAGTGATCCGCAATGTAACAGTGATCGGCAATGTAACAGTGCCCCCCAATGTAACAGTGATCCACAATGTAACAGTGATCCGCAATGTAACAGTGATCCGCAATGTAACAGTGATCCTCAATGTAACAGTGCTCCGCAATGTTACAGTGATCCGCAATGTAACAGTGCTCCTCAATGTAACAGTGATCCGCAATGTAACAGTGATCCTCAATGTAACAGTGATCGGCAATGTAACAGTGATCCTCAATGTAACAGTGATCCGCAATGTAACAGTGATCCGCAATGTAACAGTGATCCGCAATGTAACAGTGCCCCCCAATGTAACAGTGATCCGCAATGTAACAGTGATCCGCAATGTAACAGTGATCCGCAATGTAACAGTGATCCGCAATGTAACAGTGCTCGCAATGTAACAGTGATCCGCAATGTAACAGTGATCCGCAATGTAACAGTGATCCGCAATGTAACAGTGATCCGCAATGTAGCAGTGATCCGCAATGTAACAGTGCTCGCAATGTAACAGTGATCCGCAATGTAACAGTGCTCCGCAATGTTACAGTGATCCGCAATGTAACAGTGATCCGCAATGTAACAGTGCTCACAATGTAACAGTGATCCGCAATGTAACAGTGATCCGCAATGTAACAGTGCTCGCAATGTAACAGTGCTCCGCAATGTAACAGTGATCCGCGGTCCTCTACATATTCAGATGTTATCGGCCAATTGACGGGTGTTTATGATCCGTCGGTGGAAAATCTGGTTTGAGCAGGCAAACTCTGGCCTGGTTTTAAGCCTCTGGGTCTAATCGGCATTGGTAACATTGTTAAACAAATTAACCTTTTGGCAGGACCCCGGGGTCCCGAATAAACGGCAGTCAAAATCGTTATTAATAATTTTATTGGCAACCCCGTCCCACCGCAGCACACAAACACCGCGACCCACCCGGCGCGGATCGTTCTGATGGCGTGTCGTGTCCAAGCGCAGCAGCGAGGACGAATGTGCAGGAGAAACACAACTTTGAAACTCCGATTAGCGCATCGTGTAGAGCTCGTCGAGAGGAATAGATCGCCGTGTCGTTCGCCTTCAACAGACATGAAATGACGTCGCAACGCAGTTCATGCGAGGGCCGGGGGCTTATGGGACCCCGAGATCCCACCATAAGGTTAAAATGCTGCGTTTTGGGCGAGCGCCCTTCTCCATCCATAAGCTGTCGCGTTTGTTGACGATATTTTGCTGTTTCGCTTTGGACAGTGCCCACGAGCCAATAAGGCCCACGGGCCGATGACAAGTGTCTGCATTTATTACGTGGAGACGCGGGAGCGGAGTGAGTTCTCTAAGCCTGCAAATGCGTCGACAGCGCCGATTGCCGACTTTCATTGTCCAAGCGAACGCGCAGAATAATAGCGGAGAGGACGCGTGGGTGCGTGCCGTGTGGGTGCGTGCCGTGTGGGTGCGTGCCGTGTGGGTGCGTGCCGTGTGGGTGCGTGCCGTGTGGGTGCGTGCCGTGTGGGTGCGTGCCGTGTGGGTGCGTGCCGCCTGGGTGCGTGCCGTGTGACCTCTGCTCCAGCGAAGCTGACGACTCTGCCTGCTGCCTGGCTACGTTTGTTCCCGCAGCGGGGTGGGTCGTGTTTGACACGTGCTCTCTCTCTCTGTGTCACTCTCTGTGTCACTCTCTCTGTGTCACTCTCTGTGTCACACTCTCTCTGTGTCACACTCTGTGTCACACTCTGTGTCACTCTCTCTCTTTCACACTCTCTCTGTGTCACACTCTCTCTCTGTGTCACTCTCTGTGTCACACTCTCTGTGTCTCTCTCTGTGTCACTCTCTCTGTGTCACACTCTCTCTGTGTCACACTCTCTGTGTCACACTCTCTCTCTGTGTCACTATCTGTGTCACACTCTCTCTCTGTGTCACTCTCTCTGTGTTACTCTCTCTCTGTGTCACACTCTCTCTGTGTCACACTCTCTCTGTGTCACTCTCTGTGTCACACTCTCTCTGTGTCACTCTCTGTGTCACTCTCTCTCTGTGTCACTCTCTCTCTGTGTCACTCTCTCTCTGTGTCACACTCTCTCTCTCTGTGTGACACTCTCTCTCTCTGTGTCACTCTCTCTCTGTGTCATTCTCTCTCTGTGTCACTCTCTGTGTCACACTCTCTCTCTGTGTCACACTCTCTCTCTCTGTGTCACGCTCTCTCTCTCTGTGTCACTCTCTCTTTCTTTCTGTGTCACACTCTCTCTCTGTCACGCTCTCTCTCTCTGTGTCACTCTCTCTCTCTCTGTGTCACACTCTCTCTCTCTGTCACGCTCTCTCTCTGTGTCACTCTCTCTCTCTCTCTGTGTCACATTCTCTCTCTGTCACTCTCTCTCTCTCTGTGTCACACTCTCTCTCTGTGTCACACTCTCTCTCTGTCACGCTCTCGGGCTTCAGGTTTCGGAGCACAGCGACCGCGCTCTTCGACGTGTCGACCCCTCCGCCGCGTGCCCCCCACCCCCCTCCCAGCTTCGTGCAGTGCAGGGTGCTTGCCGAATAATAAACAAAAGGGATGAAACATTCGCGAGTGGCTCTCAAAGTTTTGCCCCGGACTGCGCGTGTCCGCGCGTGCCACACGACCCTGATGATGCAGCACCGTTTTGAGAAGAGAATTTCTCTCGGATATATTTATATTGTGTTCGGTCAACAACAGATATATATTGTGTTCGGTCAACAACAGATATATATTGTGTTCGGTCAACAACAGATATATATATTGTGTTCGGTCAACAAAAGATATATATATATATTTATATTGTGTTCGGTCAACAACAGATATATATTGTGTTCGGTCAACAACAGATATATATATATATTTATATTGTGTTCGGTCAACAACAGATATATATTGTCTTCGGTCAACAACAGATATATTTATATTGTGTTCGGTCAACAACAGATATATATTTATATTGTGTTCGGTCAACAACAGATATATATTTATATTGTGTTCGGTCAACAACAGATATATATTTATTG